CTCTCTCTCCCCCTTTGCTGTCACTTACCATTAAAAAAGGCTGAAAAGGCTCGAAAAAAGTGTTTAAAAAAATAAAAAATAAATCACACACTTCCACAGGAAGTGCAGTAAACATATGTTCAATGTGACAGTGTTTAACAGTTCTATTGAGTGTGGATATTGCCTGAAGACCAACATTAAGCACTGTGTCAGTCAGTAAAGGTTTTTTATGTTGGTGTCTTTGAACTGGCCTGATCGTATCGGGTATCGTCCGGTGAGAAATGCTGCCCTGCTGGGAGTGCAGAGGCTTGCTGCAGCTATATGGTGGGTCAGCTTCACCCCTTCCTGTGCCAACTGGTCAATATTCGGGGTCCTGCAAACAACTGATAGTCAAGGTTGAACATTCAGAGAGACAAATGTAATAAATATCAAAGTCCTGTTTATTTCTGTGTAAAACTGAATGTAAGGGCAACTTATCTTCCAAAATTAGGGGGAAAAAAGTCCAGTGAAAACAGCTTGTGTCCAATTTACAGGTTCAGTCCATTAAAGGTTGTATATATGAGATTTAGATCATTAATATAGCAGCAAACAACTATTTGCTATGTAAATATTTAGTAGAGTCCAGAGCAAATAATGACATTATACTCCATCTGCCTGTGGATGAGCAAATTTTTGCTAGTTCTTATCACACTGATGTATGATGTGTTTATTTTTCTGATAAGTTCGTTTTTAATTAGTTATTTGAAGCTATAAGGGGGTTTCACGTCATGATTGACAGCTGAGCCTTGCTCATGATAGAGTCGGCCGGGTGTATCGGTGGGATTTCAATAGCGCCGTGCCAACACCAATCACTACTGCATAGACTCTGTCTCCAAATGACGTCACCAGCGCAAGATTCAACGCAACATTCATCGTTTAATATGTCAATGGGAAAGACTAACAAAGAACGAATTTTGGAAGTTTAATTTTGTTTCTGCAGAGTTTGAATAGTGTGTTTTATGATTATCTACAACGTTAAATTACTGTTTTGCAGTGGTGGGCCGTCAGGGCCTGCAAGGCCTTCTCTGCTGGCCTAAACAATATCTGAATCACAGACTGATGTTAATTATATTTTGTCCATGAATATTTATTAAATAATTCCAAATGGTCTATCCGCTTACTTTCATAGCTTTTCCCCTGGTTGCGCTGCTTATTATTATTAAAGCATTTAACAGATCACATTTCAGCCATCATTTGTTGCCAGGGTCCAAAAAATCTGCCTGGAGGCCTTCACAATCAGTTCTGCGGGCCCTGTAGCATAAAATAAGTGTTGATCAAACTGTTACTTCAACCAATCAGATTTTGAGTTTGCGACACCAAGGCCCTCTAGCAGGCGTACAGTG